AGGGTTGATTACCTAATTTACTTTTATTTGCTTAGAGAAATCCTTTTTTTTTTTTTTTTTTACTTAGAGTTTAAAAAATATGATCAGTTTAGGGTAAAAAGGCCACATAGTAGGTGGTGTTAAAAGTAATTTTATTACAATTTGTCATGCGCAGTTGCGCAATAGAAAATCACCAATCACTGGGCGTGTCAATCAATTTAAAGAAATATTTTATTAACATACATTAATAATCATGAAAAATATTTCGAATTGAACTCGAGTGGACTCGGGAATAAGTCCGAGTCCTAAAAAAAAAAAATTTCGAGTACGAGTCAATTCCGAGTCCAAATGCACACGAGTCCATGACAAGACCAAGACCATTAAAATATGGTCTCGAGACCGAGTCCGAGACGAGTCCGAGTCTCGAGTACTACAACACTGACTTGTAGTCTAGACATCAACTGGTCTCTATAGAGGTGACGAGTCTTGAACTGATTTTTTTTTTGTATTTGTATTATCATGTTTTTTGTTGTTTTTTTTTTTTTTTTTTTTTTTTTTGTGGTCCAATTAAAATGTTATCAAGATTTTTCCATCAAAAAGCATTCTAATTTAGGAGTAGTACGCTATTTTCTATCCTGTTTTTTACCTTCTCTTTTTCGAATGCTCCATTTTGATAGGCGTGCCGCATTCAAGACTTGGAAGTAAACGCACACTGCTATGATCGGGTAACCGTTTTGCATATTAACGATCTGTAACAGTGTGGCGAATGTTTCAAGACTGACCTGACCGAGGCTCGACAAACATCCGCTACAAACAGACAAAGCAATAGTGACACATGGTAAAAACACTGTTCCTCACACTTGTCTGTTGTGACATTACTGTTGGATCCAATGTTGTTGGCACTGCATCATCTTTTATTTTCAGTCTCTCCGAAAAGCTTAGGCCGAACTGTGTCTTGTTTAAAAACGAATCTGAAGTAAAATGAAGCGAACCGTGTCTTCTGCATCCACGCATTCTTAATGTTAGAATCACAAGGAGGGCAATGCAAAGACAATGGCACAATCCTGTGTTAGCTTCTGTCTCGTATTTAGTATCTCGACACGCGTCAGTGGGAGGGGCTAAAGAGGCAATGATGTAGAAGTAGGGGTAGCTCTTCTACAGAGGTGGTCTTTCCAACAATATCTCACGATCAATTCACACGAATTCGTACTGGTGAGTTTGAGGTGGCTAATTCATATGAATTCGTATGATTTGTCTAAAATTCAGTGATGGGGATGTTTGGGCACGTGGTCACGGGTAGGTCACTCATACGAATTGGGCAACTTGTAAAATATGTACGATTTAGTAAAAATCGTATGAATTCGTACCAATTACCCACCTCGTAAAATACATAAGAATTGCTGTGAGTTTGGTATTTCGGCGCACTATGGCTTAATAATGTGACAAAATCCAAAATTATTCATTTTCATGAGCCTGGTTTCAATAAAAACTGTTTTTGGACTTGCAAGTTTTGAGTTCTGAAACTTATAGGAAATTTGTATAATACAATGACCTCTTACTGTATATGTCAAAAGATCAAAGCAAAAACATTTATTTCTCAATTCATGACCATTATAAGATATTTCATGATTCATTCATGACTCAATTCATGATTCATTATAAGATATAATTATGATTAAACACTTAGTGATACTTACTTTGTGAGTTACAGGGACTTGAGGAAGGCCGAAATTTGCTAGTAATGATTGAAAGAAATTTCAACTGAGCCTTTCTTCCAATCAGATTTGTCTGTTCTTCTTTCCCATGTGGGCTAATCAATAGGGTTTGGATAACCAACAGGTGCTCCCCTTTGGCGGACTGTCCACCGCAATGCACTTAGATGTTTTGATTACAACATCTTTCAGTTGAGATTTTGTTGGTAGCAATGAAGGGTGAATGCTATTTAGAGTAAGTGTGAATCACAGTACAATTAGGTCTCAAGCACTTTGTCTATTGTATGCAAGAAAACATCTTGGTTTGGCTTTGTGTGGCGGCTAACTTGACTGGCATTAGGGTGTGGAGTTGAAAGGGTTCAGCTTTTATGCCCCAATTAACATTATTCAGGAACAGTGTTTGTGTAAAGTATCACTTTATTCACTCTCTACACACTCCTGTTACTGTATCTTGTTGGCCAATCTGTTGTCCACATGGACAGGAGGTATTAAAGTCTGGACAATTCTCTTATTTCTTTAGCCGTCCAGGATTAACAACTTTAGCCTCTGAGGCAAGTCAAAACAAACTTGGCAAACTGAAACCATCTCATTTCTGGAGCACCATTATCGTCTAAAATATCTCAACACTCAGCTTCTCCTCTCCCTCTTGACCCTTTGTGAGACAATCAAAACCTGTGGACCCGGTTGCCATGTTCAGTCTTGGTTTCAATGGCTCCATTGTTGTGTTGTAACAAGACGCCAGAGCTGGTTGTTTGATCCACTCTTCTGAAAAGTTTTCTTTGGGGTCTTCTTTTCACTTCCTTTTTGTTAAGCGATGGATCAGCTGAGAAGGTCAAGGAACACTGTCTTTTGTTGTGCAGTCTCTTCCGGTATCTTCCTTTTTAAAAAGGAATAAATTGGTATAAATTGCATTCAAAATATGAACTCATTTTTTCCACATGACCAAGTTGTCTTTCCTCTGTAGCTCTTAAAGTGCCATTTCAATGCTAGTTGGTTGAAGCCTATCCACATATTTGTCTGGGAGTTGCTTGGTTTCGAAGCAGGTGTGTCTGTCAGCCGACTTCTGAGGCAAAATCATGGTCTTTAGTGTGAAAGCAGAGAGGCTGCTGTCTCTCAGTCTGAGTGCTAGCAAACTGTCAGAAATCACGTTTTAGTGGCTTGTTCAGGTCACGCTGAGAGAGCAGCCTCTTGTTCCTTACTGTCTCTTTCTTTCTGTTTGACTATCCTTTTTCTTTCTTTCTTTCTTCTCCTTTTTGCTGCCCATGTTTTCCAGCGTATACTATAGAGAGGGTGATTCAGTTTACAGTTGCCGTACATTAAATGCAACATACAGTAAATGTAGACCATAACTCTATATTAATGTTACTTTAAATTATATGAATCGCTTGTTTTTTTTCCCCCCATTTTATTAGGCTTCTGATAAATAGTCATGGATATCTATATCAGGCGATTTGTTTGTTATCACTGTGTTGGTGGTAAACAAGAGCTAGTTTGCACCCCAACAGCATGAGGGAGGACAGACATGTAGACACCATCATCACATTATACAAGGTCTCATTGTCTGGCGGGCTGCTTTGCCTTGCGTGGCATGATTTGTGGGAAGCCATCTGTGCTCAGCCTCTTTTGAAATGTGAGAAAGAACATATGCATTTGCATAAGAATAATTGACACTTCAAATTAGCCCTCCAATCACAAAGGATTATCTTTAGTGTATGGGTAAGTAAGTAGAGGCTCTTCCATCCTGGGGAGAGAAGATTTTCTTTTTCTTTTTTTTTTAGCAATTTTGTATAGCTAAGATATTAAACATGCCACCTTATTATTGTTTGTTATCTTAAATGTATTGTTATTATTTATTTATTTATTATTTAACACTGCAGTACATAATAATAAAAACAGTACTGACGTGTAATGATTGAAACCCAATTCAAATGGTGTGATGAGCATACTGACAAATTGAATATCTAAACATAAGACAGCGTTTGTAGGTCATGTGTGGTGTGTGTGTGTGTGTGTGTGTGTTTCACATATGCCTGCTTGGTTCGTGTATGTGGTAGTGCATATGTAATGTAGTGGAGAGAGAAGAAAACTGAACAAGCACAATGTTACATTATTGATAACAGCTAATGAAAAGAATCGTTTCAGGATGAACAGAGGGATAAACTGTACATGTCCCTGGATACTCACAAAAGCATGCGGAGATCTGTACACAGACATATCACACACACACACACACACACACACGCACACAATTTAATGGATATGAACTTCCAAATATCTAATTATAGTGTCAAAACTGAAAAGATTTATGAAAATGATAAAAATTGGAAAATATTGCACCCCTTTTTTACACAGTGCTAAATGCATTTATCTCAGATTTCGCAGTTTCTGAAAGGCCCTGTGATGGACCTGCTCCATTGGGTTAGCCGTTGGAAGACGGGGTTGATCTCGCCCACTCTTAGATGGCCATGAATTCATTTGCACACATATGAAAGGAGAGGAGCCCCTGGCAAAGAACCGAGATATTTGTGCTGTCTGGTGTCAGATACCAAGATGGGGGTGTGTTTGTATGTACATTGATGCTTAGCCTTACCCGTCTTGCCTGGTAGAAGAGCAAGGGTTTATCCTGGTCTCCATGGCAACAACGCAGCATGCCAGGGCCGTACCAAACCTAGGGCAAAGCACTTGATTCAGTGGGACAAGGAGGGAAAGCAATTATGTGCATTAATCGTTACATTAGTAGTAGGATTTTCACAGTTGAATGGAGAAACAGTTGAGTTCGACCTTGAGACGTCCTGGTCAGGGACGATATTTGGTTTAGCGTTTTTATATTCCTCCGCCCCATAGTCGCACATGAATTCGTTCTCACATCAGCACAAGAAAGCACGGACAACATAAGACTTGACTTTACCACAGGCTTCTCCAGGACCAGGTTCTGATCCGCCTTCATACACCGAGCGGATGCGGAGCATATATTTTTAACCTGAGCCATTTTTGCAGAGAGGTTAAAAGGGCGAATGAAAAATTCTGTAAATTATTTATAATAGCTGAAACTCTTTTAGTGTTCCTCTGTTCGGCTGGGAGTGAGACTGTGCACTGGAATGTGCTTTACTTATGGATTGTCAGATATGTGGTGAGGAGTTGCTTTTATCTACACCAACAAAAGAGCTGTAGGTGGAGGAAGAAGTAGGTCACGTCATTTACTTCAGGTCAGAAAGGAGCAGAGAGATTTTGACAGGTTTAACTAGACATATAGAAGCAGTTCATTCACACATGACACTAATTATTGTGTTTTTTCTTCTTTCCTTCTAGTGGTGCTTCTGAGGAGATGCGTTGCTCTTTGCTGTGAGGATGAAAGGTTAGTATACTGTACTGTTATGTATGTCACATTAAATGAGGGGTCGTCTTTGGGGTTAAGAGGTGGTCACCGAGGGACAAAAACAACTCAACAGTTAAAGTTGGTTGAGGTGAATCAAAGAAATAAAGTTACCTCACAGGGAGCAAAGGCATGACAAACCATTGCAAACTCCTTATCCTTTGGTAGGACACTGTACATTTTGAACAGTGTCTGTTAATACTAACTGAGATGACCATCAAAAACAAAAAGAAACTAACAAAAAACTAGAGCCAAACCAATATATCGGCTGGCCGATATTAGGCATTTTCCAAACTATCGGTATCGGCAGTTATAATGGCCAATAAATGAATATTTCAAAAATAAAATAAAAACGGACGAAACACGCTTCAATCATCTCGCCTTGGCCTGTAATATTGAAAATGTATGTTTTATTATTTGCAGAATGACTTCATCTATTGCTAAATTATGGCTCATCATAGACTAGCTAACCACAAAGCTAGCTAATGCCACTATCATCAGTGGAAGACCGCTAACGTTAACATTAATGAGCTTGGAAACCACAATGAACTTTTTCTGCCTAAATAAAGTAATGATTACTGTATTTATAACTAGCATATCTTTATTTACAGTCCCTGCATTGTAAAATGTATGTTAGACTTGCGAGGCAACGCATTCTCACCCCAAGGCGTCACCTTTGACCATGCTTCAATATTTGACGTTTTAGGCGCCCTTAGCGTCACTTACATGACGCGATCCTACGGCATCATCTAACTGACGCTAAAGGAAAGCGTCTGTTAGAGGACGCGGTTAGGTTTAGGTGTGGGGTGGGGGTAGGGTACACGCGATCCTAGGGCGTCATCTTACTGACGCTAAAGGGCGCCTAAAGCGTCAGATATTGAAGCATGTCCAAATGCTTCCCAAGGCGTCAGTTAAGTGACGCCTTTGGGGTGAGAATGGGCTGTGCGAGGAGTGAACATTTAGAACATTCATGTATCTTGTGCATAAAAGTTAGCCTTTCTTTTTACACGTGTGTGAAATCCAATGACGCCAAGTGTGCGTTGCAGACTGTCGTTCTGTAATGGATTTAGATTAAAATCTCTAAATAGTAGGTTTTAGGTAAAGATAAATATCTGCCGATAATTCAGAATATCGGATTTTAAAACAAATATTTGTATCGGTATCGGCCTTCAAAATCCTTTATCGGTCGGGCACTACAAAAAAAAAAAAACCTTTATTCAGCCTAAAGGCCCTGGTTTATTTCAGTTTTTGCTTTCTTCTCAGACTTGCTTGGGACTTTCTGATTTTGCAGAGACGGAAGCATTCCTTGGGCAACTTATTTGTTGATCCTGGAACAACATTCCTGTCAGAAAGTGCAATCATAACCCTATCCCTATTCATGAACCTAACCCTACTTTTAAAGGTGCAGTGTGTAGATTTTAGTGGCATCTAGCGGTTCGGTTACGAGTTGCACTAATGGCTCAGCCCACTACTCACCCCTCCCTTTCGAAGAAGCTATGGTGGCTAAAACGGGATAAAAACATATCACCTGAGACAGCAGAAAACAGCCAGAGTAAGCCAAGTTTCTGTACCACTGTCCATTATAAACCACATCATGGATAAAGTTTACAAAGCCATAGTCAGGTGAGGATCAAGTAATAATAAATTAATAGTACTCAGCCGATTGTTTCACAAACGTAACCAGCACATTTCTCCCCAAATAGCAAACCCATAACACAGCGAGGAAGAAGAACCACATGAAATTATCCAACTACATATTTTTTTCTAACAGGGTATTAAAAGTTTAGCTGGCTAATATGAGCTGTTATGCTGTAGGGCTGTGGCTGAGCTGGTTAAAGCGTAAAGCATTGTTTAAACTCGATGCGTCTGCATGAGTGCAAAGGTGCACGCTGCAAAAATGATGTGACTGTATGTGTCCGCATCCCCTAGACACCATTTACTACACACAAATTAATAAATAATAGTGAATAGATTTATTGTTTGGGGGTTTTTTTCCACTGGTTTTGAAAACTCTTCGCGATCGACTTAAAATGCTTCCAAGATCGATGGGTTGGTGACTCCTGTAACATTACTGTTTTACGGTCAATAGTACTAATCAGCTGATTGTCAAAGTCATAACACAGCGAGGGAGAAGAGCTAAGTTACATGAAACAATCCAACTACATATTTTACACCAATGACAAGGGAAAAGTCACTTCTCACAAAATTAGTCCCTCCAGAAAAACGTGATTATGTGATCGCATGATCACAGCCAAAGTCTGCATATTTATGCGGGGGCCGCATTTTTTCAAATACGCCGCACTTTCGCCACATAAATTGACGATTGCCGTGCAAAATATGCATTTTATAATCCTCGCTTTTTCATTCCAAAAAAAGTCACATATATCTGTGCAAAAAGTTGAAAAATGTTGCGTTTGCTTCACACGAACAGCCATTTCCACCTGTTGCAAGGGATCGTTATGAAGTGACGTAATTACGCGACATGAACATCATCGAAAAGCTGTAAAACAGGAGCACACTTTAATTTTTTTATATTTCATTTATTCATTTTTACAGAAGTTGTAGCATATTCCTTTTGTAAAGCTACAGAACTTGTTCGACTCATTAATGTTTTGTAATTTTGATGTGTTTATTAAGGCCTTATAACGCGTTGTGATTGGAAGAAAAGTAGGGATAGTAGGAAAGTTATTGCAGAGGTCAGACAGACTCACAGAGGCGATTGGCATCTCACAACTCACACTTTATTCTCAAATCGAACTCGTATAATTGTCTGTCACAAGTTTTACTGTCCACATTGTTACTTAATAAACAAAATAAGATAAGATAAATAGCATCAAACAGAAATTACCCGCACACATGGAGTGTTTGCATGGCACATACAATATAATACTGGTGACAGTTCAACTGGGAGCGCGCAGCTCTTAAAGGGGCCACACCTTATTTTCCACTTATTAAAGTCTGAAATAAAACAAGATGAGAAATTAAATGTTCCCAGCATTTTCTATGATGTAGTACACTTGATTATCATAGGAAGTAATAAGAAATGACTCCTTACATTAAGGTAGTAGCCTAGTGAGAACAGGATGTTGGGGAATCACATTTTTTCTCTTTTTCATCAAACAGTTCTCGCAATTTCATCACGTACAATTGCATAAATAGTAATATAGATATAAATGTCTGATTCTAAGGTAATAAAAACATAACAGTTCATTAAATAAGGTCTTTATACACCACAGAACACATAGTTATGGATCTTATATTGCATTTCTGTCAATAGATCCTCAGAAATATTACATATTGCACCTTTAAGTTATCCCTAATATCAGAGGGAGGTGATAGGTGAATAACACTGATGTAGAAGCACCTAACCATTGTTGTAAGCCTAAACTTGACATAAACTGTAAACTTGTCCCTTCATTTCTGATTGGAATGTTGTACCAGGATCAACAAAGATGTTGATAATGATCCATGAACATTTGCACTAGGTGAAATCAGGTTCTGTATCATGTGCACAGTTGAGTGCTCAAGCCATATACTCCTTTGGAAAGACTCAAGTCATTCGCACATGTGTTGTTGTAGACTAAAAAAATGTCACACAGACATTCCACAGGCCATCACACAACACAGACAGCTACTGTATAGACCCCTTTTGCGCCGACATCACAGTCACGTCACGGCGCTAGCTGGAGGCAAAACAAAGTGAAAACTGGAGGCGGTCAATGCAAAACAGCACAGATTCGGCTACATAATAAGGAGCTTAAATAATTGTTACTATTATTAAATGTCATCTTGTTGTGTTGTTTGGTGCAAGAATTGATGAAAAATGAATATGCTGTATCTGGAACTTTTATTTCTAGAAAATATTCACATCATTAAAATCGCACTGTAATGTCACTCTTTACATTGTCGTGGTCTCGGCGCTGACTCGGCAGAACTGCGGATCATACACACAAGTCTTGTACAGGACCATAAAAGCATCTAAAGATTTATATGCCTCAGTAAGTTTTTCTTTACGATTGGTTTCTCTATTAGGTAGGTGTAGAAGTCAGGCCACTCAACCGAGGTAACGTACTTTAATCCTGTCAGATCATCCATGCATTGAGTGAGCGTGTAGGCAGCTACAGGTCGGCCAATCTGGTTCCGTTCGTTAAAAATAACTTTTGGAAATAACAATCGCGGTCCTGGACACTGAGTGACCTTACACATTAAGATAATATCGGATTTTCTCCAGTCATTGTTAAAAAACAAGCTAACAATCCTTGCTAACTAGCGTTAGTGAAGCGGCCAGATGGATCTTTCTGCCTCCACCTAAGCTCCGCCCACAAAAAAACGTCACCATGTTTACCAACTGTAAAAGGGTCTATACTTTGGGCATAAGCTGGTCTTTTGGCCTGGCCTTCTAAAACTGGAGTTAATGAGTTGATGAAAAGCTAATAGTTAATTAAATAATAAAAAGGGAAAATGAAAGCACATCATTTTAAAATAATTGGGAATCTCTGTCCTAGACTGAAAAGTGTCCTAAACCTCTCTAAAATGAGCCAAGCAGGTTGACCAAGTTTGCAGACCAACTAAGACCAGCAAAGCAGTTAAGGCTGGCTTTAGAGGGTTTTTTTTTTTTCCAGCAGAGCGAGTAGCCAACAACATGTTTGTTTTAATAGCTGGTTTATTGCCCTCAATCGCAAAGTAGTTACCCTGCATTCAATAGTGCACATGGACACTTAATTTAATGCCTAGATGATAGTTTTTGGGTTCTTAGATGGCGTTGCCCCTTTCATTCAGGATATCAGTGTGGTTGGAAGCAGGAGTGGCTGGTGTGCGCCATATTGAGTCGCAGGGTTCAGTTGGGGAAAGAGTGGCTCAAGCAGCTCTTTCATTTCTCCGAGAAATAATGTGCGGTTGGAGAGGAATCTGACATAGATAGAATGATGAATTCTGTAGAGTCAGTAAAAGCAAAGTAATGCTGAAAAACACATCTGTGCCGTTCTCGGACCACACTTCAAAGGCACAATGCTTCTCCTGAGGCAGCACGCTATATGTAGCGCAAGCACTTTTAATTTATTCCTCTGGGCTGAAGTACTTTTTGTTGTTGTCTTGATTTCGGTATTTAATTATTTACTTTCTGGGACAAGAGATTTAGAATGGAGATGGCTGGATGAGACACATCTAACAAGCCACTGAAGAAAATGCTGGAAACATGACCGTAAGCGACGTCCAGAAATATCCTACCTGCGGTAACTCTTTAAATCTTCAAAGGAAATCTGCAAAACGTTAAGATATGGCTAACAGTATATTTGTACTGGCTTAATGGTCCTCTCCTGAATAAAATCTCATGCTCGTTATCGTCTTCTAAAGTTTTCAAGAAATATAATGCGATACACAGAGAGAAAAAGCTACAAGGCAGTAAGTGGAATCGGATAAGTTATTCTCAGACAGCAAACAATAAATAATGACAGGAGACAGAAACGCAGACCCTCCCAGACCTGTGTTTTTCACAACAATATATAAAAAAAGAACACTCTTATCAGGTTATAAGGAGTAGTGTAAGCAAAAACCATGTGGGAAGACAAGGAGGAACAAAGGTGAAGACAAGAACGTGTTGGACACTCCATTATTGTTTTCCTCTTTGTTAGCGAACAGTACGTGAAGATTTTTTAGAACTTGGTGATCTTTGTCTCGTTCACAATCTGTGATAAAGGTTTAGACTTGAAGTGATTCATCTGATTCATGTTTCATAATGAGGCAGGGTATCGTTTCCTTTTGTTGAACAATCGAAGGCCTCATAAGAAGTTAAACGCCTGGTCAGTGCAAGTCGTAGAATGTCATAGTGATACCTTCCATTTTTGTTTTATCGAAGATGATGTTTCAGGATGCGAATCAGATCTCAAAGCCAGTGAAATATAAAGCAAAGTTTCATCATGTGCGCGCAATTGTGTTGTTTTGTTTTTATTGCAAGCTTGGAACACGGAAAATGGGAAAACAATGGTTGAACAATGGTGCCTACGTGAAGTAGTGCGTACAATGAGGTTTCATTTCAGAAGAAAGATCTTGAGAGCTGCAGTCAGAGGGCCATTCCGGGTCTATTACAGCCAAACCACTTCAGAATTCAGCTTATGAATGTGCACTTTACGTCTGACAGGGCAATACAAATAGTTCATTTTTTCTCCAATCCTCCATTTCTCATTGATCTGTTCTCCTCAAACTGTACACTTGGATTAACTGTGTATCTATATTAAAGAGGTGTAATACTATTGGAAGCCTGCCGACAGACAGCCCGGAATATTGGGAATGTCAAAATCCCTCTTAGCTCTAGACAACTTTTAATAAAACTGGCAAGCTGTGTCTCAAACTTTGTGATGCTTATGAGGACACTTCCCTAGGACTGTATAGAGAGAGAGATATAAGAGTGAGAGAGAGAGAGAGAGGGGTTCTTTTTAGCTCCTTGATAAATGAAATGATCATGGTAGCTTGAGCTGGACTAAATGAGCAGCAAGGGATTTGCAAGGTCTTAATGTCAGAATTAGCTCTTTGTGTCGAATCACAAGCCTGAGTGAGGAATAAAAGCTTTTATGAAAGAAATACTTTTTTGAGACTCACCTTTTGCTTTTTTACTTTAAAGGGATAGTTTACTCAAAAATTAAAATCCTGTCATCATTTACTTACCCTCAAGGTGTTGCAAACCTTTTTCTTTCTTCTGCTGAACACAGATGAAGATATTTTGAAGAATGTTGGTAACCAGATTGACTTCCATAGTATTTTTATTTCCAATGGCTACTGTCAACTGTCTGATTACCAACATTCTTAAAAATATCTTCTTTTGTGTCTTTTAAACTTATATAGGTTTGGAACAGCTTGAGGGTGAGTAAATGATGACAACATTTTCATTTTTGGGTGAACTATCCCTTTAAGAACTATAAAATGGATAGTTTTGACTCCATGATGTTCGATAATTGTTTGTTTCACTTAAAATGACAAAAAAAAACAAAAAAAAACACACACACACCAGTGACTAAGCAGTGTGCACATTTTATATGTTGCCTGGAAATCACAGATAGTACTGTATCTTACATACACGCAAAACAAATATTTCAGTTTCAGGGTATTTAATTGTAGAATAAATGTCAAACTAAATTGAGATATTTTTTATTAGAAATAAGATAAAAAAATGTTCTTAATTGCAAAAATTCGTAAAAATAAAATGGCATCTACTATTGCTTTTGCATTGTTGCAGAACTAATTTTATATACAGCAAAGTTAAGCATACTTATTGAACTAATTGTGAAAAGTAACTGTAACTGAAATAAGATAAAGATTAAAGATTGATTCACTTCAAAACATGCCTCAAATTTCATGGTTTTAATAAAATAGAATTGAACAAACATTACCCTGAATGGTAACACTTTACGTTAACCTGACACGAAGACTTACACATGTCACGTTTTATGCATGTTTATGAAAACTGTCATTAAGTGTCATTCGCTCAATTATGACATTTTTAATGCAAATATGACATTGTTTGAGATGTCTTTGTTATGACATCTTGACATAAACCAATACATCATAACCTGTCAGTGTCTTTGCCATGACAACTTGACATTACTAAGACAACACAACCTGTCATAAACATGACATAGCAGATTAATTATCGAAATTAAGAAACCATCTGGCTTCATTAAACTCTCATGTGGTTGGTTTTGACATTGGCTGTCATGATAACTTTTTAATGACAAATTCAATTTGTACCACTGTAGTTGAGGTCACGAAAAAGGAAGGAAACCGACACAATCTTCCATGTTTACAGTAAATCATGAACGTTTCGAGATAACGAGATTCATTTTTACCAATTAGCGTGGAGCATGAACCAATTAGACTACAATATCCATGGATGTTGCCTACAGTAATATTATATATTTTTGCTTTGATTCCAATAAACCTATGTTGTGATTGTAGTGCAGTGTTTTGCATCAATAGATCACACACTTTGTTCAATGATTCCACTAGGCCTATATCTGTATTCTCTCTATTACTGCAGTACTTATACAAAGATGTATTTTTTGTTCTACAATATTTAATTATTGTACGAACAATGACATGATCTATTGTTATGTTTCAATGGTGTTTCACAGTAAATTTGTTTTTTAAACCAATGATTGTGCAAGTGCAAGATTTCTTTAAAGATGTGAATGCACGTCGCAATGTTTTGAACATTAGACAGCCTGTGTTACAAGTGATAACCGTTTTGAGTTTTGAAAAATGACATCAAGGTTCTGAAAATAGTAGCGAAGTGATTGTAAAAAACTCGAATGTCAAGTTGACAAAGACACTGACAGGTTATGATGTGTCAAGATGTCATAACAAAGACATCTTAATGTCATATTTGTATTCAAAATGCCATTATTGAGCGAATGACACTTAATGACAGTTGTTAAACATGCATAAACCCATATGTCATGTCATGGTTATGAAGGTGTCATGCCAGTCTTACGCACACCCCTTCAAGTAAAGTGTTACCACAACATTTCCTCTAAGGCACTAAGACAGCTGATTAGGAACACTGTCATTTTAGGGGTGATCTTTAGTTTCAAATTTCTATGTAATGTATGTCTGCTATAAAAGAGAGTCCGTTCTAACATGTTCTTGTCTCTGTTGTAGGTTGCGAGAGCTCTCCAGCACATGCCACCTTCATTAGTTTCCAGCACCTGAAGACACAAGGACACAAACCCAACTAACTGACCATTTCATTCAGCTTTGCTGACGTGGAAAGATGACCACTGTGACCTAACGTTACAGAACAGTCTGACAGCACATTATAAGCGCCACACAAAGTAGCTTGAAAAACCTTTTGAACCTTGTGTGGAGTGTGTTATTTTTGTACGAAGAAATTGCTATAGGCTCCAACATGCTTGTAGATTGTATTCATTCAATAAATTTTCTAAAAAAAAGAAAAAAAAAGAACAGGTCTCGTGATTTATTTGCTGAACTGTGGGTGATGAAATATTTAATATCCTGGGTATTAAAATGATCAGTCTCTGATGCATTGTGAGGGTTGACATGGTTGAATCAGTACCACACTAAAGGACTGCCGCACGGGGAATTATTGCTTCAGTTTGAACATGTCACCTCTACAATATAATGTTCTACCATTAAAATGTACAATTATCCTTTCTTTCCGTTCTCATATCTAAGTTTTCTCCGGCTTGTCATTGTTCGAAAATTTCACGCACACAATATGAAAGAACAATAATATCTAGTCTCAATGCTATTGCTTAGATTTGATTTATACACATAAGTGTTTCACATGCATAATGCAAAGTAGCTCTCACACTCCACTTTTTGTTCTTGAATAAGTCCTAAATAATGTGACTGAGGTAAAAGGAGCAAGACGAATTTCCTGATTAATGTCCCAGAAAAAGCTGTTTTCTCTGAATTGCATCACGAAGTGGTCAAGATGCACGAATAAAAGCTACTTTGGTCTGGAAATGAAAGTTCATATATTCTGCTCTTTCTGCATGTGTCACAAAGAGTTGATCACATGGGAGTCTACCAGAACACCTGAACACAAAGCCAGGCTTTGTGTGTCGCTCTGACCTCAGTGTCATGTGACTCTGTTATGGCCAGGTGTTGCCTGTATCTGGAGCAGAAACAGTGTTTTGCCCTTAAGACCAAAAACATACCTAAAATGAAATCAAATGCATTGAGAGAGTGAATTACAGACATACTGCACATTTGTTTTTGTGCAGCGATGCCTTATAGAAGAAGAAATATTTCAGTGAGCAGTTCTTAAAAGGACCATTTCTTTCTAGTGTGAACAACATCATTTAAAAAATAAAAATAAAATGTAGGAACCTCTTTCCACTATAAAGAACCTTTTGAGCAATAAAAAAGTTCCATGAATGTTAAAAGATCTACATTGAGCAACCAGTATGAATAAAAAATCTTTATTTTTAAGAGTGTGAATGCAAATTATTTTTTAAACTGGAAATAAACATGTTATTAGTATCATTATATTATATTACTATGCATTACATTTAATACAAATAAACATTAAGATATATTTAAATATAGAATATAACATGCACTTATGGGTCACTAATCAAATTTGTAACATTAAAGGGTTAGTTCATCCAAAAATGAAAATTCTGTCAGTAATCACTCACCCCCAAGTTGTTCCAACCCTGTAAGACTTTCGTTCATCTTCGGACATCACAGATTTGATTAAATCTGCAAGCTGGGTCACTCCTCCATAGGCTTCTTAAGGGATTTAAACTGACCCAAAAGTTATGAAAGACACCGTTAAAATAGTCCGAGGGACTACAGTGGCTTGGAAGTTTATCAAGCGACGAAAATGCGCAAAAAAAAAAAAAGTTGACTTTATTCAACTATTCATTTCCCTCTCTGTGGGACTCGACATTTTACGTAGTGAAACTACGCAAAGCTTCTAGGTTGTACGTCACACGTGGGCTCAATATTGGCCTACACTCATAGGCGTCATTTATGGGGGGGATGGGTGGGACATGTCCCCACCATTTTTTGCCAGGGTCGATTTTGTCCCCACCACTTTTAAAACATCTCGCGGCACAGATGTACCAACAAATAAAACATTTCCGGTTAACAGCATTCGTTTCATTTGTTTGTTAAATAGCAGGCGATCTAGCACTGAAATGCGTTGTCTTCTCTCGGAAACGCGCTTCAATCCGTTGCGGAGATTCGTTCCGGTGAAATCACAATTCAAAATGCACACAAACGTGTCCCTGTTTCTCAAGGATTCTAATCCGCTCGTATATTTTTCCCCCCTCATCAAAACATATTCAACCACTGATACACATTATTGGTTTTGATGAGGGGAAAAAAACTATATACGAGTGCGGATAAGAACCTCAAACCTCCCAAGTCCCGAGTCCCGACACGCTAGGCAAAAATTCTACCTCCGGACCATCACTGTGCATACGCAATAAAGGGCATTGTGCTCATTTTTATTTATGTACATCAGAAAGCTACAAGACATCGTCTTTCAAAACATGACCTACTCGAAAGATAAAAAAAAAGAATGAATGTGTCATTGTACCCAGCACTTTTTGAAACTGCCCTTCCGAGTACGTCTCTGTCCCCAGCACATTTCAAACCAAACTGACGCCCATGCCTACACTGGTCATGTGTGTGATGCTTGTGACGTACAACCAGAAGTGTTGCGCAGTTTCACCATGGAGGAGTGATCCAGCTCTCAAGATTTAATCAAAAATATCTTAATTTGTGTTCCGAAGATGAACGAAAGTCTTGCGGGGTTGAAACAACATGAGGGTGAGTAATTTTCATGGTTGGGTAAACTAACCCTTTAAGCATGACATTCTCAAATGTTCTTGAATTATTGGAGCTCAAGATGATGATCTCAAATCAGGCTGAAGAACATGATCATCTGATCACAATGTGAACTTTTTGCAGCTCGAGTAGGCCTACTGCTGTCATTAAAGCTGCAGTCTGGCGGTTTTCCGTTTTGTCGCCTCCTCTGTTCAAAATCTGCAACTGTAGTCATTCCCGGAATTATCAACTTTATGTGAGTTGCACTTCAACACCCTCGACAATGCACAGCGTGGATGAACACAATGTTTGAGGAGAGCGTGTAGCTGTCAGTCGCCGCGCCGGTGTGGAGACTGGCATTCAGGATCACAAATGATTATTTTTGGAAGTATGACCAACATAAGAATTTACACCGGAAAATGTCCTCTGAACAAGTAACTAACATCCACTTTTGTTCTGGTTCTGACATTGCAGTAAATCGATCACGCTGATTAAATCTAACAATCGCTTATAAGTTATCATATCACACAAAACCGTGCAAATTATAGTTTGTTCTCAAATTGTTGATGTTAACAACGTAAGCATTGCGCGACTACATGTAATGTCCTTCTGATATGTATCCTTGTTTTCGCATGAGTCCGGTTGAAGTCTCTTTTTTTCTGTTGTCACTCCGAAGTCCGAATTAAACCTTTCTGGATTCGCTATCAAATTGATAAGTTTAATTATATCAATTGCTATGAGAAAAGGCTATAAATCTCCACCTCCAACATCCTCACACACAATATAGCCTACTAGCCGAGACTCCTTCTTTATGTGTACAGATGTAACGTAAAGATTCAAAGACATCGAATCTCCCATGGAAATCCACCAGTAACACCGGAATTAAAAACATTATTACAAGCTTACCGCTTTGAATCGAGCTAAGACAACCAGATAGTTTTGAACACTGGCTGGTTATGTTTTCTCAAATATCTATTTCATATTTAACACCAAAAAAGCTATGAACTTCAGCTTTAAAGCAACAACAAAAAAGTTTTTCAATTCAAAAATGATCTCAATTTGCTGACAAAAATATGGTAAATCCAACAAAATGTCCCCACAGATGGCAATATCCAAAAAAATGTTTTGGTCCCCAATGAGGTAGGTTTAGGGGTTGGAATAGTGTAAAGGGCTTCAATACACAGTTTGTACAGTATTATAAAAAAATCATTATATATATGGAGAGTCCCCGTAAAACATGGAAACCGTATGTGTGTGTGTGTGTGTGTGTGTGTGTGGTATCTTTCACATCAAGCCCACATGAAACCACAGATAAAGATTTTTTCTGAACATTTTTAACTGAGCATCTGACTGAAACCTTACACAAACCCTCCTGCAGTTGTTCTACTTCCACAGACCCAAATTAAGTTCATCTGACCAACACGTGAAACCATCTCAGTTGTTTCAGTCCAAACCTTCAGATTGATGGTCCCAGACTCGTAATCAATAACGCATAGATTGAAAATAATGAAGAATTACAAATGACTGGCAGTGGCAGAATCTGATTAGGCATATTGACTGACTTATGTCCATTGTTAATCTATGATGACTGATGTTCCATCTTCAGTTATGAAAAACAGTTTTAGAGTAGATCTTCCCAGAACAATGGCAACGGCCGCCTCAACTCTCCGGCACAATTCAATTGTCTGTAAAGCACCGCAAAAGGCCCCCTTCTAGTTTTGCTTTTGAATCACTTACGAATGATCCGAAATCAGACACAAGCAATGAAACTCAATATACTTTTTGTTGACATTTGAAATTTAGAGAAAATAAAATAAAGTGAGAGTGCTTTTAAGGCCAAAGAAAGTGACCTTGGTGAGGCCAGTGAGAGGTAACTTTAAAAACTCCATTATCTACTCCAGGACTTGCTCTCTCTCTCTCTCTCTCTCTCTCTCTCTCTCTCTCTCTCTCTCTCTCTCTCTCTCTCTCTCTCTCTCTCTCTCTCTCTCTCTCTCTCTCTCTCTCTCTCTCTCTCTCTCTCTCTCTCTCTCTCTCTCTCTCTCTCTTTCTTTTCTTGCTTTAAGAAAGAGGAAAGCACTGTGCAGTATTTCACCTTTATCTCCCGATAGCAGGTCTTTGTGTTATCTTATTCTTATTGGAAAGAAGGGAGAAACGGGAAGGAGGGTAAAAGCCTCCAAGGCGCGATACACCACGCACTCCCCACGGATGGTGAGATACCAAACACTTCCTTTCCAAACTTTCCACACTTTCATGCTAAAGGAGATGAGAACCAGTTGCATTGTAAAAAAGGAGCTTCTTTTGGATTTCTCTACAGACAAATAGAGGGATACATCAGAAAAGCCGAGCATATACGCGAACGCACACGTGCAGGCGTGCATACACACCTCGCGCAGCAGCATATGTGCTCTCGCAGAGCCGGGCTGAATAGCACAAAGAGAACTTTTAAAGAGAGAACTGTGACATATTCCCAGAGTGTCTGTCTGCCACTCAGAATTCCCCAGCATGCTAGGTGATGTCTTCCAAAGCACAG